TTTATATATTAGTATACGCTTACATTGCAGTTTTTGTATTATTTCTCAGAAATGAGATATTTTCCCGTAGTAAAAAGTATCCTATATGTTGACCCGGATAACCATCTATCATTATATCAAATTTCATCAAAATCCCTCCCGTGGGTTTTCCGTGATGCGGCGACAGACAGACAGACAGACAAAAATTCTAAAAACTATAGATTCGGCCTCTGTATCGATAATAATGTCTATTTCAATAAGATTTTCCAAAAAATATTTAATGTACAGATTCGGCTTAGTCACAATTTTATTATATGTATAGATGAGTTCTTCTTGTATATATGTATATAAATTTATTTCATGTAACTCGGAATCGGTTCTAACGATTTGGATCAAATTTTTTATTGAGAGTAGGTTTTGATTTTTAGGTTTATCTATACAAGTGTCTTTTCTAAAAAAAAACGAATTTTATAAGAAGCTCGAAGCTCGGTCGCCCAGGTACTAATAATATAATACGTTAAAAAGATATTTCGAAATCGTATATTCATTTTAAGGCTTGGCCGCACGCACCTTTAAAATTCAAAATATGTAAGTGGCATCGTGACAGTATAGAAATGACAGCTGACATTTTTACTTTTTAATGCTCCAGACAATGAACATTATGCAATATCTTACAGCTTAAACATTCGTTGTAAAATAAGCCGACATAATAATTTTTTATTATAAATAATTTTGTTATGTTACAGATTTTTAGAGTAGTATATTGTAATGAAGCTTAGTATTTTTATCATTTTGTTATTAAGAATACCCAATAAATAAAAATAAATGTAAATTTAATTATAAAAGTATCACAATTTACATCCACACGTTTTTTTTATTTTCGTATACTATATTTTATTCAAAATTTGTTATAAGTGCATCCGTGTCGATAATATGACAACAATTTTATTTTAATTTTATTACATAATATTTCCAAGTTTCCTTAAAAGACTATCCGGAAGGCTCCTTAGTAGGTATTATTCATATGACATTTTATTAATTTGCAAGACCTGTATGTTTGTGCGAAACGCCTCGCCTAGAATTGTAGCAAAATGTACCGGCAAATACCTGTACATAGACTTATCTTTGATACTTTAATTCTTGAAATTCTAAATTAAAGTAAGTTAATCATAATAGATGAATTCGCAATGATATCCTATAACCGCAACGAAGAAATAAACAGATATAAAGTATGAAGTAACGACCAAAATATGATTAACTAGCGAATCACCCTCTTTTCGCTAGGGTTCGTCTCTAGCTTGATTCTTCATACAAACTTTCATCCCCATTTTCACCCCTTTAGGGTATGATTTCCGGAATAAAAAGTATCTTATGTCCTTTCCAGGGTCACAAACTATCTTCTTACCAAATTTCATCTAAATCGGTTTCTGTAGATCCAGAGATTACCCCCTACAACGTCACAAACTTCACCTCTTTATAATATTAGTATAGATAGCACAAATGTCCTTAGAGAAAAATCGAATAACTATATATAATATAATAAGAAGTAAAAATAATTTTACAATACAAAGAAAATATTTAATAATAAACTTCAAAATACTATATAAATAAAAATAAAATGTTGTTTGCAAGCGCATCATTTACGAACGGTTGTGCTGATATAGCTAATATTTGTTTTATAAATTCGTAATACTAATTGGAAAAAGTTTCCTAGAAAAATGGGAAATACGAGAAAAACAAAAATTCATTTTTGTGTAAGTTTAAAAATCACAAACAAAAAAATATATTAAATTTTGACGAACAAAGTCTGTCATATTATTTATTGCTTTTCAATATAATAATTATAAGTCGCATTTGACGACACGTTTGGCTCAGTTTGTAGTGATCCTACTTGCTGTGCCAGCGGTCGAGGGTTCTAGTCCCGTTGTGGGCATTCATTTTGTGATGAGCACGAATATTTGTACTCCAGTCATGAGTATTTATATTTTTAAATTAAATGTATTTGAAGTTATATGAATGTACTGTATCAACTCTGATATCCAGACAGGTCTCGTAGCTTACCATGGAACTGGATGGAGCTGTGTGTTAATATCCCAACATATTTATTTCTTTATTTATATTTGTTTTATGAATGCATATTGGAGATCAAAGGATATGATTTTATTTAGATAATAATCAAAATGATCAACGCCTATTAACTAATTAGCAATCGAACAACTTCCGGTAAACTACCGATGAGATTTTACAGAAAAGAAGCCATTTTATAATTAATAACCTAATGAATTTATAATTAATTGGATTTATAATTATTATCATCATTATTATTATATTATTCATTAGTTATTTATAAAATCCACTTAGATTTAAAAACCATGAAAATATTATATCTAAAATGAATTTATAATGTTCACATCAATGTTGGTTATCTTCGAAATACTGATAATAACCAAAAACCAACAAGAAAACTTGTAACATATTTGTACATTTATTATATTATATAAATTTTATATTTACGATATAAATAAATAACAAAAATAGATGTAAAATATCGATTGTATTGAGATCTAATTTTTCTCTAAAATGAAATATTTTCAAATTATATATTATAATTCAAATAAAAACTGTTTCGCAAGCAATTTATGTATTGTATTCAGTCCTTTTTTAATATCCCACGACTTAGCACTGGCTTTCTTTCAATACGAGGGGGATCAGATCATATTCCACCACGCTGGCCAACTGCGAGTTGGCGTACTTCACATCTTCTTCGACAACTTGCTAGGTTCTCTCAGACATACGTACAGACATCCTCACGATATTTTACTTTACTGTAAGACAAATGGTGATCATATTGGAAATGATTTAAAAATCAAAGGTGCGACCCGTGTTTTCAACCGACTTCACTCAGTATCCAGAGCGAACACGTTACCACTGGGCTACAACTGCAGCCAAAGCAAATAGTTACAAGACAATTATTATCAATCGATATCTTTGAACATAACTAATAAAATATAATTTTTAACAATTTCGTAACTGTACTTATTAATATATATATATATATATATATATATATATATATATATATAGCGTATATATATATATCTAATCTGTAAAAAAATGTTATTTTCCTTGTCCTGGGAAACTATAATTTTGATATGTTATTTATAAGTCCATTCGAATTCAAGGCTCAATAGAGCCCTAACAAGATCATTGAGTAACTTTTATACTACTGTTACTATCGCAATTATTGACTTATAATTTTTTTTATAGACATATTATTTCTATTTGTAGCAGCTATACGCTATATATTTTACGCCCTCGCTAGCGTGAAGCGTTACTTCATACTTATTGGTACAAATATGTAGTGACAACATAGTAGAGAAATTGAATTTAGGTTTAACGACAAAAAACATAGTTTTTATATCAAAACTAACCAGCTTAATACATAATTTATAAAATACTATTAGTTTATAATTTTATAAGTTAAAGTTTTTTAAGGTTTTATTCCCAGTGATTGGACATCCTGTGCTTATGTTAATAAAGCAACCATTAAAATAATCAATGTCTTGTCAGTTTGTGCGTGGCGCAATACATGTGATCCTAATAAGTAACTAAGGAGGTCGATCTCGTATATAATGAAGAGAAGTGCCGACCAAATGGTTAATTTACCTAACCGCAAGTTTTATTAATAAGGCTTACTCATTTGAAATTGAAATTCAATTGAAGTTTATTAGATATTTCTCTTTACCTAGTAGGTAAATACTCGTATTTATAAAAAATAATGTAGTTTAAATAAATTTAAATTTTAGTTAAATATTTAATATTATAAATATGATGGCAACATTTTCAAGTTAAGTGTATCTAAGTTTAAAATTTAATTTTACCGACATATTCCTAATATTATTATCATAAAAAATATATATTAATAAAACCTAGTAGGTAAGTAAACTTTTGTCATTTACAAAAGTTTTCTACTTGTTTAAAGCTATTTTTTTCCTATTATTTAATTGTTTTACATAATATTATTGTATAAAGTACAAAAATACAAAAAACCCGACTGCATAAAAAACGAACTAAAAAGATGTGAACAAGTTGACAAATGAACATGGTATTATGAACACAAAAACGTGCTTAATTACAGACATACATAATATATTTTTGATAATTTGAAATGTATAAAATTTACTTTTTACGAAAATATAGAAATACCTACTTCATATTCTTATTAAATTTTACAATACATTTATGCATAAAATAAGTCACACGATTTAATATTTCCTATAAATATTCTTCCTATTTATTCTTACTACGCTGTCCTTCATTTTAGGTCGATTTTTGCCTTGGGAAATAAAGAAGTGACAATTTTTAAATATTTAATACATTGCGTTAGAAATTGCGTTAATGATCAAGGCAGTATCAATAATTTAAAAAGGTATCAAGGTTAACGACATGTTTTTAAGCTTAGAAGCAGAAGAATACGTAATCATGAGTTTGTTAAGATACATTTAATCTATGCCGCGATTGTACAATATGATATTCCAGTCAAAATTCCAGGTAGCTATTTTTACTGTTGGACAAATGTTATATATAAAACTTAACCTCGATTCATTCGGGTGTGTCCCTGGATACATTTTATTTTTTTGAGCGGAACCCTAATTCTTTATCTAAATTTAAAGTAACCTAAGTTACTTCTTATAACATCAGCTATCTGCCAGTGAAAGTCCCGTCAAAAACTAGCCAACCCTAGCCGTTTCGGAGATTAACCGAAACAAATAGACGGACAGATAATTTTTTTTAATAATTGTGTTTTTCGTATAAGGACCGTAAATAATTGCATATACATTTAGTAAAAACCAGCTTAAAATTACAAACAGACACTTCAATTTTATTTATATGTATTACAGATATACTTATTTTTTACAATTTTTATTCAGCATAAAGAAATCTATAACGATTTTGTTAAATAAATTTTAACGTCAGTGTTATATTCATGGAAGTTAGTTAACATCATATTTTTGTTTCAGAGTCTCCAAGATCTTCTAAAATCAAAGCACGTGCAAGGTTTAGAAATCTACGACGCACATCTATCTTTCAACAAATCTAAAGTTGTTGAGACTGTGGAAAATGCTAGGTCAGCTATTAACGCCAATGGAGGCGGGCCATTATTCCTTGCCTTGCCAGCGCATCCTGAACTGCTCGCGAAGTACTACGACCTTAGAACCTTGCTGAAGAAAGTGGATCTGATGATGGTGCAAACCCATGCCTTGGGTATGGTTAAGAAGATGACTTATCACCCTAGTCGATTGAGTGGCTTATGGGATATGATGAACACCGTAAGTTATACTTATAGGTACATATTTTAATGCTTTAAATTTCGTACAGCGAGGGTATTTGATTGAAATTTTACTATACATAATAGAATATATTTTAAATAACAATAAAAATTGTCAGCGTTTGATTAGAAAACAAAAAAGTTCACTCAATATGTTCCAATAATAGATTTATGCTATTTCTTTAAGAATATCCTTAGCTACGTATATTAATTTAGTTTATTTAAATTTGCCTATTCTGTATAAATGTAAATCTATGTTATTCATTAACAATCACTTAATATGTATCGGCTTAATTTTAATTTGCATCTATAGAATAACTCATAAATAAAATTTCTTATCATATCATCTCCACGTTATTTCACAATACAATGTTTCTACGCGAATTTTAATTTCTATTTCTCTGACGCTCGTCTAGGCGACTCATATAAACCAGTGCGAAGGCAAACTGGTGCTCTAAGAAAAATCCTGCAAGTTTAAAATAATAATCCATCGAAAACAGCTCTTATTTCTTAGGTATTAAGAGTTATATGAAGTGTTAGTTTGTACCGTTGGCACAAGTAGGCCACAGAACAGGTGCATCTATTATTTAAAATTTTAAGTAGATTCGAGTGGTAATCTAATCTAGATAATCTTTATAAGTTTGTCAGTCATCTTTTGACTACAATGAAGGTTGAGTAAACTGAATTATAGTGTAATGGACTGAACTGCCTTCGCCTAGATGTTAAATTCTAAGCAAATCTTACGAAAGCTAGATGGCTACTTGCTAGCATTCATGCCGTAGGCGTCGGATTCACAGCATATTATAAACAAGGATATAAACTTAAAATAAAATGAATTTAATACAATGTGAGTCATTTTAATCAAGAATCCGGCTGTAGACGTCTTATTATTGCATCTTTGAAATTTTATACGCAAATTATAGCTGATACAGGATGTTCATTAACACCTAGCGCAAATAGATAGTTTAATCTTAAATAAGCATTCGTAATACTTATGTACCTTGAATTCTGTTGCATTTTTATGAAGTTATTAGCTTATATTTCTATAGATGTAATTTTGTTATTAATATTTTCTGTGCTACTATTTTCCTTTGATCGATATAAGAGTATTTATTTAGATTAATAAGAAAAATATTATCGTTTATGTTTAATAGAAATTGACTCTATAAAATTATAGTGTTTTATATGTTAGTTTAGGGTAAATGTTTACAATACCAATAATATAAGTATGTATTAATTTAGAATAGTTGTTTAAGCCTCGAGTCAGAATCGATCCCGCTACCTCAGACGTAGTAAAGAATGCATATTACATCATACATGCGTTGAAAATTATTTTTAAATTGTGTTCAAATGTTATTTTATAGCGTTATGATTAATTTCCCTCATTTTACAGGACTCCGTAGTAGATCTAGTTATCGGTTTGGGAGTGCCTGCCTCTAAGATAGTCATCAGTTTACCAGCCACAGCGAGACAATTCACCTTAACGAACGAAACTCTCAGTACTCCTGGAAGCCCGACTGAAGACGACGAACCGAAAGAAATCGACCAAGCAGAACTTTGCCGACAAATTCGCAAAGGTAGATGGACTTTGGAAAGAGATCAGGATTTATCAGCCCCTTATGCTTTTAAGTGAGTGATTTTCTTCTTACGTTACTTTGCATTGTATTTATAACAGACTACGAGTAATTTACTAACTTAACCTACTAAAATATGTAGGAACCGTGCCACTTTTGCAATAATATGATATAAGCGATTTGTTTGAATTTTTTGTGCATTTACTTAGCTAAAAGTAAAAAGTAACCATCTATAATGATCTAAATCCTTTTGTAATCGATCAGTACGAAAATCTCAGAGAATTATAGAACTACAATAAAAATCGTATCCATTATCCTCATTTCAGGGATTTAACCTGGATCTCCTTCGAGGACCCTTCATCAGTGGACGTGAAGGGCAAATACGCGCGTGTACGAGGTCTGGCAGGTCTCGCCCTACACAAAGCGGATAAAGACACAGACACTCCATGCGGGCCGACACTAAGGACTGCGCTATCCAAAGTTCTTAATCAACAAAGCAGGGCACCAAGAGCTGCTGTACTGAGGTAATTTGATTTTAGTTATTTTTTAGTTAACTCTGTAAACTTTAAAATTAGTTTTTTCTGCGGCTACGTTTATGCAGTGTGTTAATTATAGCATATTTTATCCAGGTATAATATTCCTTCAGATTTTCTTCAAAACGATACAGCGTGAAGAAATAGCAAACACTCACAAACTTTCGTATAAATTATTTTACTAGTGATGATGTTCTCCTGGCCGATTCCGGCTACGGCGGCCAATCTCATTGAGATTAGCCAACTGCGCAAGAGATATTATAGTGCACAAGTGTACGCGCAGACACCAGTGCACTCTCTATTCCTACCACTCTCATACTCCGGTGGGACGACCACTCGACACGACCGGTGACAGTTAAGGCGCAGGACCGACGGCTTTACGTGCTCTCCGAGGCACGGGGGTGAAACACCGCCAACTTCCCAACTCCGGGCTGTTACTGAGACTTAATATACAGAAAGACTCAATAACTAAATTTGGCCCGACCCGGGACTCGAACCCAGGACCTCCGGGTGTGCGGCCGTACATGCTAGTGTAACAGCTTGTAAGGTTCGTGATAGTTTAACGGTGAAGATATTGTATGTGAAGTAATTTAGAATCGTTATAAAATGGAGATTTTAATGTGGACCTTCATATTATTATCATAAACGTGAAAATAACTCTACATATTAAATTGTCAGCTTTTAACATTAAACCACAAATATATAATAAATTTCGACACAATTTTAAATAAATATAAATTTAAAAATAATATTTTTTTTACTAAATTAAGAAAAAAATATTTTTACAGGTCTCTAGAAAACGAGATTTTGTCAGCGCCGTTCCAAGTGCAAGCACTAGACGCTCTACAAGTGTCGCCCTACCGCATTACGCAAGTTGTCGACTCCGATGGAGTTATTCATTCCATTAGAGAGGTTATTTTGCTTTTCTTTTTAGTATATCAATTCATTGTTTTGTTTTAAATATGTTGATGTTTAGCAGTTTATTGGTAGGTTACATACATACATAGTTACGTAACTGCCCAGTAATTTGAAACATGCTATAAAATATATACGTATTAAATACTTATAAAAACCAATTAATATTCTTTTAAATGTAAAAAAAATATAACTAATATATAAAAATAAAAAAATATAACTAATAAGGAAATTAATAATACATTATGAATGTAGTTGTACAATTTTATACTTTTAGGACTTCTACATATATTAAATATGATATTAATAAATAAATTGAATGCATAAATAAATAAAATATTTTATTGTGACTTTTCAGGATACAAGAACCGAATTTTCTTGCACGCGTCAAGGCTACTTCGTACACCCGCGTTCCTGTGCTAGATTCTATCGTTGTGTTAAATTCGACCAACTTTCCCCCGAGTTCACCGTAAGTTCTATTTTTGTTAAATAAAATTTTACAAGTCTTGAAGCTAGTAGTGATGATGAAAAAGAAGAGAAAAATGTGACACTATGTTTTTTTTTCGATTATATTATCGATTATAGGAAATAGTAAGAATTTTCTACTAATCAACTTATTTGTCTCAAAAATATTAGTTTGTAAGCATACAATAAAAAGGGTAAAACTTGGATGGTTGCTTTAACGACGCGTCTTAATTGCGCTTTAAACCTTAGTGGAATGGCCCTATAATAATAAAGCAATAAAGTCCATTCTAGTATGGCTTAACAACTTGATAATGATGCCAATAAGCTCCTCTATAGAATAGCCACACTGAGATTAGAGATATGCATGTCTACAAATATACTAGAGACACAGATATAAAGTTAGTATCAGTAAATTGGCTGAAAATTCACGTGTTCTGTTTTAATATATATTATATTATATATATAGTATATTAGTAATATACTACATACATATATGTATGTAGTATATTACTAATATACTACCAACCACAGTAAAACACCTTACAATAGGCGATCGCCTTTCATTTAATAGAAACGTTGTCAAATACAAGGGTTGTCAAAAAATACTAATTTTAATGGTGAACGGTTTCAAAGTAAAACTCTAAAGCCATTTCTTGGTAAATGACAGTTATACCGTCAACTCTAAAGCTCGTAAGACATTTAGATGCGTCTTACTCGCGTCTCAACTCCCGGCAGTATTGCCCTGTTTAGAGGCCTTTTTTACACGACTGTACGGAATAGTAGACTGGTGATATTACTCGTAACATGAATAAAATGAGAATGTCTATAGGTATTCGAGTTCGACTGTCCCGCGGGTCTGGCGTTCGATGCACGCTACGAGGTGTGCGTGTGGCCCGGTAGCTTGCCGAACTCGCAGGCATGCCCCGGTTCATCGGAGATCGCGCCTGTACCGCACGCGCGTTTCACTTGCCCAGCCAAAGAAGGTAAGAGTACCTATACTTAACTGCAAATTAGAAAACTAATGAGTCAAAATTTCATTTACATTATTTTTGTAAAATTAGCAGCTGTATGGAGTAATGATGATATTTATTTACCTTACAAATTTACTTTGGATAAACGTTAACCGATTATATTGATATATTATATTTATGTCACGATATTTCAGTGTCCTTGTACAAAAATGCAAAATTGGTAATTTGTTCTTTTTTTTTTAATTTAAGTAGTAAGCCGGATTTTCACTTAAATAAAACATCTCTTTTCTATTCGTCATAAATTATATATTCGTATACTGCCTCGGTGGTGTAGTGGTTAGCACGTACGGCTGCACACCCGGAGGTCCTCGGTTCGAGTCCCGGGTCGGGCCAAGTTTAGTTATTGAGTCTTTCTGTATAGTAAGTCTCAGTAACAGCCCGGAGTTGGGAAGTTGGCGGTGTTTCACCCCCGTGCCTCGGAGAGCACGTAAAGCCGTCGGTCCTGCGCCTTAACTCTCACCAGTCGTGTCGAGCAGTCGTCCCACCGGAGTATGAGAGTGATAGGAATAGAGAGTACACTTGTGTCTGCGCGTACACTTGAGCACTATAATATCTCCTGCGCAGTTGGCTAATCTCAATGAGATTGGCCGCCGTAGCCGGAATCGGCTAGGAGAACATCATATATATTCGTGAAATAATTTATGCTCAATAAATAGCAAGCAATTTTCTCGTCACATAATTAAATTTTATAAACTTTCCTTAGCTAAGTCACTAAACCAATTACGAGGAAATTTAGAATGTTGGTACATTGGAAGGAATCTATCCAAGTATATTCATAATATTTCTCTTCACTTACATTCTTTTATCCTAAATCACAGGTTACTACGCGGACCCAGAGAACTGCCGTTGGTTCTTTGCCTGTTTAGACCACGGGAAGTCTATGGAAGCGTACGAGTTCCGCTGCCCCTTCGGACTTGGCTTTGATGCGGCGCGTCTTAAATGCGACTGGCCCTGGCTTGTCCCTAACTGCGGGAATATAGGCAGATATGAAGCTGAAGCATTTGGATTCTCTGGTGCTGTTTTGACTGGTATGTATGTTTGTGCTACTACAGATTTAAAATGATTAGGGTCGTAGCCAGACCCGTAACTTACGCCCAATACGGGTGTCAGCAGATATGAGGCGGCTGGGAGCAGCTTTTTGCTCTTCCTGTAGTGTTAATTGTGGTAACTGGTAAGTTGTTGTGAAAATGGTTGGTGAAAATTGTTGCAATTGAAAAATTGGTAATAAGTCTTTTTTTGTTACTTCTCTTCAACATGAATTTTAAAATGAGTAATAATTAGTTATTTTTCTTTACATTTGAATGGTCCATTAACCCGAATCCTCTGAGTATCTATAGGTTGGTAAGCTAAATACATACAATTATTCCAAACCAGTCACAATAGGGGATCGGACAGTAATCAGATTAAAATCTAAAATATACTTAGACAATATAAATATAGTGTTTTATGATTATTTATCGAATAATAATTTAATATAATTCATTTAAATATTTTTAAATGAAGAAATAAAATTTTGTTATTTACAATATTTTAAGTCTGTACTGAAACAACAATCACAGAGCGCTAACGAATTTTTCTACAGTGATAGCACTGTGCAGTGCTCGCAGTGCATATCGGAACACACCCGTTATTTCCACAAATGACGTCACGCGCCAAATGACATAACGTGTCGGTTTGGCGGTATTTTTAAATAAACAATATTCAAACATGATTTTGATTACCTAAAAGGCTATAAATAAATAAAATTTTATTTTTTATGGGAATAAGTATCCATGAAGATTAATTTAAAACACTTTCTGAAAATTTGTCCGATCCCCTATTAAACGATTTAAAACCATCACCTTAATTTTTTGCTTAATTTTTTTTAATTATTAATGTTATAATTTATAAAAATATAAAATGTTTATGAAGTTTTTAAAAGAATTATTTATTTTCTTCAGGTGCTACTGGATTCCAAGGGAAGTCCGCCGATTCAGTCAACATCGCCGCTCACCAGAGTCTGGTGTCAGGAGCGTCTTTAGACAATCTTGTTGGAATACAAAACGGTTTTCTTTCAAAAGATGACGTTCTAGATACAAACTTCATTGCTTCTCAAGAGGTTCCAAATGTAGACTTTGCGGGACCAGAAACTTATCAAATCGACGAAGGATCTTTTGACTACGCCTTAGGGGGACAAGGCGAACCTAGTGGACTCTCCTATAAATATGTGTCTGCTGATAACATTAACAAGGGCCTCGTCCAAGCAACGAACTATAACGACGAAGACAAGTATACAAGTGGATCTATAATTTTAGATGATTATAGATTACCTGCAAACAAAGCAGTTGCTTCTGGCAAATATATCCCGGGACTTTATTCAGCGAAATCATCATCACGATTCGATTCAGGAAAATATAAAGGAAATTCCGCTTATCCCGGAGCTTCACCGAAGTACGATAGCGGTAAATACAATAGTGGTTTTTACAGAAAAGATAAAGCTGGTCAATATGTTCACAATCCCGCGGGAGACCGCGCAAAACCATACAAACATATTGATGTACCACCTGTACCTTACGATCATAATGACCCGAAATACAAGCAAAACACAGAATATGATGTAGGCGGTTATAAGGGCTCATATGATGTAGGCGGTTATAAGGGCTCATATGATGTAGGTGGCTATAAGGGATCGTACGATGTAGGCGGCTATCAGGGATCGTATGATGTAGGCGGCTATAAGGGATCAGATGATGTAGGCTCGTATAGCCAAGATTCGTTGAAAGGTTACGATTATCCAAAACCAGCCATTCCATTTAATGAAGGACCAACAGTGCCTCAGAATCTATACAGTATTGAAGGTCAATTAGATGGATATACAAATGGAGCTTCGGCTACTACTGGAGGTGCAACAGTAACTTATCACGGTCACACCAATACAGATTCCGGTAAATACGTTGCAGATAATACTGGTTTCAATAGCAATTCTCACAGTTTAACAGCAGGAGCAGTAAAAGTTGATCTTGTAGGAAAAACTTCGTTAGTCGATGTGGATTATTCTGACAAAGAAAATTACGCATCTCAATCTTACAGTTCAGGAGTTGTTCACAGTCAAACTGTGGCACAACCAGCTGTCTCTATTACTCATATAGGTACAGATAGCCAAAATCTTGACGGCTATAGCTACGTAACTACTCCTACGTCATCTGGTATCCCAACTACAGCTACTCCTTTGCCAGTTACATACAGAACGACATATGTACCAGAAGTTCCAAAAAGTAGCATCAAGCAAGTTTTTGGTTACACTCAACCTGCTGTTACTTACGTTCAACCAACTGTCGTTCCCGTTAAAGTGACTGATAATAATCAAGGATTAAATTATCAGTTTGAAAGTAAAGACTATTCACTTTATAATACAGCCTCAAATATCAATTCTGAATCAGGATACGATTACTCTAAGCCTGCTACTAAATTGGAAAGTACTATTTCATACTCAACTCCAGCTCCATCTGCTACCGTCGTTTCTTATCAACCACAAGGGTTCGGACACAGTCAACAAACTATTCATAAAGTTGAATCAGTTGGGTTCGAATATTCCACACCTACTCCAGTAAATGAGCAACCGTTCAAAAAATTAGTAGCATATACTACTGGACCGTCTGTTTCTACGTATGTGGAGCCCGCAGCTCAGTCATACAGTCATCAAACAATTCATAAAGTTGAATCAGCTAATGCTTACACTCCATCAGTAGAAGTTAGTGGTCAAGTAAGTTACGAAGTGCCTCAGACTTTTGTGCAATATTCGACACCCAAACCAGTGGTTTCAGTACAACCAGTAATCTCAACATATGAACCAAAATCAGTTAGTCAACAAACTGTACACTCGACGGTGGATCTTAGTAAATCGAACGTAGATTCTCAAAGGCAATCTGAGGAAGGTTATGAATATAAGCAACCTCTTGTTCATTTTCAGGAGGCACCAAAACTTATTCAATACTCAACACCCGCACCTACAGAGTATAAATCTCAAGCTTACAGCTCACAATCCATAAATAGATATAACACTAAGCAATATGTTCCTGTGTCATCAACTGCTCGACCAATAGTATCATCGACTCCAGTAACTGTTTATGAAAACCCTATTCTTAAATACACAGCAAAGGCTACTCCAGTAACATACGTTAGTTCTACCTATGCCCCACAATCGTATAGTCAGCAAACAATTCATAGAGACGATTCTAGATCAGAAATAGTTTCCGATAATCAGTACGTAGCAGGAATTAGATATCAGGAACCACAAACAACTTACTATACAACGGGGCAACCAGCTTTAGCTGTGCAGCCGACAATATCCACCTATCAACCCCAAGCTTATAGTCAGCAAACTATACATAAAATTGAGGCAGACAAAGTAAATGCTTACGATACGTCTGTTTCGGGATACGAATATTCACAACCAGCCGTCAGTTACGAAACCACTAATGTGGTGTCATCGACTTCCGTACCTGTTGTCGCTTCTACGTATAGACCAAAATCATACAGTCAACAAACCATCCATAAAGTTGAGAGACAAAGAATTTCCTCAACACCGCTTCCGAAAGTTGAGTTGACTTATCAAGAACCATCCGTTTCCATTTACGAAAATCCTATTTTAAAATATACCCAAAGTGCCGCCCCAATCACTTACGTTCAACCAACTACCAGTGTTTTCACACAAACGTATAAACCAGTGCAATCTACAACAAATTACGTTAGTAAGCCAGTCGAATATGAATCTTCAGCTCAGCAGGCTTATGAAACAGGATACTCTTACAGTCAGCCGGAAATTCAAAGAAATGTCGAAAATGTTAATACTGCTAAGTATTCTGACGCGACCCTCGTTTCTCAACAATACTTCACTCAATCCCATAATACTGGAAATACTCAATTTGGATCTGGAAAAGACGTTGTTTTTGTGTCCTCAACACCGTCTACACTGGTTTACGAAGACCATTATGCTGAATACGAATCTGCTAGAAAAGTGAAACCATACAAAGCGCCAGAGTATATACCACCTAAGAACGAGTATCAACAAACATTCGTATCTTCAACAGCTTCAACACCTGTTGTTCAACAAAGTTCTGTCACCCATACACAAGATCAATACGACTATAAATCGACAGATTATTCTCAACAATATGAAGGACAATCGTCATCACAATTCACAAACAGTCAATCTAATTCTGACCAGTCGCAAATAGTTGAATCAGTGCACTTTTCATCTGTTCCTGAGTATAATACTCAGTACACTCAAGCTGGTTATCAATCACCGGAAATTCAAGTAGCTTACAAGGCTGAAGAATACTTACCACCTGTAGCATCAACTGCAGTCCCTGTAGTTACTTCTACATACCGACCAAGATTCTCAACAACGACGTCACGTGAATACTTGCCTCCTACTTCTAAACCTAAATATACGGCTCCCGAGTACTTACCACCTGTCAGAAATACGTATACAGTACAATCCACTGCAGCACCAGTAACTAAATCCTTGGAGTATTTACCTCCTTCTGAAAGTGCTAGTTCAAGTGTAGTCAACTTTGAAAGTTTTGGTTATAACGAAGGTGAGTTGCTGAAGGGTGATAGCAAATTGAGTACATACCAAGATTTTAGTGTTCCCGCTGTCACACCCATTGTTGTATCATCAACTGTGGCTCCTGCTACAAGAAAATCGAATATTGTTATTGAAACAGCTAAATCTCACTTACTTGGCTTTGGAACGGTAGGACCCGATGCGGGATTAATATCAACTTACACTACACCAACAACTATTGTATCAAGTACTGACAATTATTATTTAGCCCCTGTATCATCGACTTACGCTGCTGAGGTGACCTCAGCTCCTAGAAGAACGAAAACTAAATATTTACGACCAGCTGTAAAATCTACTACACAGTCGTACGAGGAATCAAAAACAGCATATAAAGCTCCTGAATATTTGCCACCGGCAGAAGAATTTGTGCAAGAAAATAGACAATCTTTCGATTATCAGAGTACAGGCGCCTCTAAAATTCAATATAATCCTTTCCAAGAACAAGTAATAGACAATACCCCAGTGGTAGTAGCAACCGGTTCAGCACCAACAAGAAAGCAAAACATTATTGTACAAACAGCAAAATCTCATTTACTTGGCTTTGGCACTGTAGGAACCGATGCTGGATTAGTATCGGAGGTATCTGGTTACAGTACACCAGGACCTGTTGAAATATCACATGGAGGATCTGCATACTCTACAGTCCCGGTTAGACAAGAATTAGTTGAAGTTGGACAGGTTGTGAGGAAAACTAAGCCTAAAGTAGCCGTAGTTACTAAATTAAATGATTTCAATCCACTACTTGTAAGAAAGTTAGGCGCAGTTTGTAGTTGCCAATCACCAGTATTAGTTCTGAAAGGTAGAAGACCCAGTGTTCAAGAACAGGATGTTGAGGATTACACCGGCCATGTCGACGCTGGACGTGGGGATATCGATGATGGTTACGTTCGGAAGTCTTCACGATTTTCTACAATTCCCATTAACACAGTTACAGCTACACCAATAGTTTCATCCACTTTCAATCCTATTATTGTCCCCGAAGACTCATACTATCAAGACTATCCAGAAGCCAGTAATGATAACATTGCAATAGTGCCTACTCAGAAAGAGTATTCTGAGGGATATGTGTCGAGCACGCCAGTAGTCTCAACAACGGAAAGAATTATTAAAATCAAACCACGAGTTAAAGCTATTACTGTTGCTCCCACATATAAATCCGTTCTACTAGACGAAGAACAGTCGTCTCTTGGAACAGAATCTGAATCACCGGTATCTGAAATCGATTCTCAATCGTTTAATCGATATGGTCCTGGCGGTTGGAGAGGACGAGATGAGACTTTGCAAGGTTCGATCGATTGTAAGCGAGCAGGTTTGTTTAGACACCCCAAGCAATGTAACAAGTTCTACGCGTGCAGATGGGATTGTACTAAACAGAGGTTCACTCTTCATATATTTAACTGCCCAGTCCAACTCAGTTTCGACCCTAACTTAGGCGCTTGTAACTGGCCGAGCCAAGGACCAGCTTGTCAGGGTGACACTCTCCTCACAAATGCTCTTTAAAATGGTATTATAACAACGTTTTTTAATCTCAACGTGCCATCAAAATTGTGACAAATGTCACGGACGTCCTACGATTTAAAATTTTGAACGTAAATAATGTAAGTTGAGTCTCTCTTTTTTAATTTTCTAGGCTTATTTATTTGTTTGATTGTTTTAATGTTAATTCATAGTTATTTATTACTCATGCTCTATTAAAGCTTGTGATTGCAAAACGCTACTTTTGGCATTGATTGAACATAAGTTACCATTGTCTAGTTCATTTAGTATATACGTTTTGTGAAGTTGTGGAGTCATTTTTATATGTCTATAAACGCTGTAATGTAAATATATCATTTATTCATGTATGTCTTGTATTTTATTTCATAACACATTACATTAAGATTAATGAACTTAAACAATGTCATAATAATTATTAATTAAACATTTAGATATTTAAAGAAACTGGCTTTTCGACTTCTGCCAAGCTATTCTTGTATTTCATTAGAACTGGAGTAACTTCTTCTTCGATAAACTCAACAACTTGTTCTGGTGCTCTTCCGATGAAAGTGGAAGCATCTAAAATTTTGTCTAATTGCGATATGATAGGAGCAAAATATTTGTCTTTCTTAACGCGATCTATGAGATCGTTATCTTTTCCTTCTTGCTTCACAACCGCACCAGCCTCGTGTGAGAGGACTCTTATTTTTTCATGGCAAACTTGACGATCTCCGCCAGCTTGTACCATAGCCATTATGATATTTTCGGTTGCCATAAATGGAAGTTCCTGAGCAATATGGCGGTCAAGCACTTTAGGGTACACAACTAGTCCTTGGCATATATTCAAAAGAGTAAGTAAAATAGCATCAGCTGTTAAGAACGCTTCGGCTAAGGTTAAACGTCTGTTTGCTGAATCATCTAAAGTGCGTTCCATCCACTGCACCGCATGAGTGTTTGCAGCATTTGCATGAAGGGTTATCAAGTGACGTGCTAGAGCGCAGCAACGTTCTGATCTCATAGGATTTCTTTTGTAGGGCATAGCACTCGACCCAATTTGAGAAGTTTCAAATGGCTCTTCCAATTCTTTACGAGATGCAAGAATGCGTATGTCAGAGCACATCTTATGCACTGTCGCTCCTAATCCAGATAGAGCTGCTATAACTTCTAAATCGACTTTTCTTGAATAAGTTTGTCCAGTTACGATGTATCGCTTATCGAAGCCAGCTAATTCAGCCACTCTTTTGTCTAGGGCTTTAACTTTTTCACTATCGCCCTTAAACAGTTGCATGAATGAAGCTTGGGTGCCAGTAGTTCCTTTCACTCCACGAAAACGTAGATCATCCCGCGCGCGAGATAATGCGCGCTCGTCCATTATTAAATCGCTAAGCCATAAGGATGCTCGCTTTCCAACAGTTGTCAGCTGAGCTGGTTGCAAGTGAGTGAAGCCTAATATAGGTAGAGACCTGAAAAGTTGAACAAAACGATTTATTAATAAAATAATATTGACGTTGCGGGCATTGCAGCAGAATTAAGATGTTATATATAGCATATTAAAACAAAGTTTATTAAAATATTTTTCTATCATCAATGTTGATAAATTTTACAATATGAAACTTGTATATTTAAAATAAATTAAATTTCTTTAACATAAAATAAAAAAAAGCAAGTATCACTTACTTATACTCATCAGCGAACTTAGATAAGCGACTGATCACAGCAGCTAATCTAGGCAACAGTAGATCCAGACCATGTTTAAGAACAATCAAGTCGGTGTTATCTCCAACATAGCACGACGTGGCTCCAAGATGAATGATGGGTGCAGCCAGAGGACACTTCTCAGCCAGGGTATGGACGTGAGCCATGACGTCATGACGCACACGTTTCTCATGTTTAGCTGCAGAATCGAAGTCGATATCGTGAATAGCCGAATCGAGTTCCGCAATTTGTTCGTTACTGATATCAAGTCCCAATTCCTGAAATAAATTGAATTTATAATTAGCTTTAAAATATAGAAAAGTAAAGGAAAGACACTGAGAATATATAATAAAATAACAGTCGCAGAATTTCTTGGGCTAAATAATGGAAATTATCTACAAGTATAATATAAAAAAACCCTTTCTTTGAATTGAAATACGAAAAGTGATGATGATGTTATATATCTCATTGAGACTAGCCAACTGCGCAGGAGATATTATAGTGCACAAGTGTACGCGCAGACACAAGTGCACTCTCTATTCCTGTCACTCTCATACTCCGGTGGGACGACTGCTCGACACGACCAGTGAGAGTTAAGGCGTAGGACCGACGGCTTTACGTGCTCTCCGAGGCACGGGGGTGAAACACCGCCAACTTCCCAACTCCGGGCTGTTACTGAGACTTACTATACAGAAAGACTCAATAACTAAACTTGGCCCGACCCGGGACTCGAACCCAGGACCTCCGAGTGTGCAGCCGTACATGCTAGCCACTACACCACCGAGGCAATACGAATAGTATGTAGGTACCTTTCCCCCCCAACGTGCGTTCACCTTGTCGTGGTGGGGGGGGCTCAGTAGTGCCCGGCAACCCAACCGGGCGCGAAGCCAAGAAACGCACAGGGAGGTGGCCCTCTTCGGAGGGTAGTGTACTATGCGGGTTGCTCCTGGTACTTCTCTGATAGCAGAGTGGACTGTGGAGCAACCCCGTGGTTGTTGTGGTCTGCTTCGGCAGACCTGCCGTCGGGGCGTCGTAGTTGAATGCGTAAGCGATCCTGCGACGCCCCATTAAGACGGGGGAAAGTTTTGTTGGGTTTTAGTGGGTAGTACTGGCTTTGCCGGTGAGTTCCACACCTCATGCGTAAATGCATTTCCCAACGTTAAAAAAAAGAATGTAGGTACCTTTGAAAAGAATAAAAACAAATAATGGTTCAAGAAATATCTTTCGCAGATTATAATCAGAGTCACTTGCTAGGTATATGTTAGGTTAGTTAGGTGAGACCAATTGCTAAAACGGTAGGTTAATATCAGTTATTATCAATACATTTTTTGATATATTAGTTATTATATACTTTAGCGTGCTAGTAAATAAGTACTAAAATATTCATTTAAAATACTAAAATAATGTATCACTCCTACATGTCCCACTAAGTCGTTGAAGAGATAAGATTACACTCAACTGATAACCTATAGGTGCTGATAAACGAAATCGTCAGTGACGAAGTGGGTTTAGACAAAAACGGACTAAAAACAATAGATTTGCATTTCTTTTGAGGTTAAAAGTAATTTAAGTGAAGTATTGAGAAGATTTATAAGTGCAGTGATAATGGTTTCCGTGCAAACAATTGCCACTATCGTGGTTAAAGTTTTCAAAATTGTAAGTACGTTTGATGAAAAAACGATTAGTTTTTATTAAGTGGTGTGGCGTGATTCATCGTATATCAATATGCTTAACTTGAAAATATGATCACGTGTGCGAATAAAAATATATACATAAATACCAAGGATTAAGAATAATTAGGATATTACAAATATTATCGGAACTGACATTTGCAATTCGTCAAAATTTTAGGATAATTCTAGTAAAATTATTTGTATTTGCTCGAGTAGAGACTAAATGTTCCCTTCTATTAGTTTCTGACAAGTTTCTTGCTAATACTCGTTACCTAAATATTGTCTTTGTAGACTATTCTCTAGATTATAGTCTATAGAAAAAAAATATGACTCACTCACATGTATGTAGGTGGTATTATAAATCATGAATAAACTAAGTAAAATAAACAATGGTTTAATAAAACAATTACTATTATTATGTTATAATATCGTTACGGTACAATTGTTATGAGCAATGAATGGAGTGAATCACTTGATGTTTCTTATAAAATAGGCGCGGTTTTTAGGATTTGCATCCAATAGTACATTATCCTTCATATAATGGAAGTAATAGGATAAAATATTAATAAATGAATGAAATTAACAAATACACCACTGGTGTGAAGTTCCGTACGGTTTCTAAAAGTCTTATATTCTACAAAAACGATTCTTTCTTTTATTCATTATGCGTTATAGTGTCTTTATAAGTTACTGTTAATTGTCACAATTTTTACAAGCAAGTCTAATAAAGGTCCCTCTGACCTCATTCGATATCGCGATAACGCCACGCCTTGTTGAATTAGCTGCTATCAATTCAAACGCGTATAGAAATACCGACAACAGGTTGTAGTGTTCTTTATAAGCTTACATACATATTCTGATAATAAATGAAGTAGGTATAAAATCTATATGCCAGTAAACCAAAAAACATACTTTCTCATTTATCATAATTTAATGTGAATAATATGACAAACTTATAGATAAAGAGACATTTAACGGAAGTTCTAAATAACTACTCTCTCTGAAGTTTTTTTTACTAGAGGATAGGAATGTGACATGATCTCCATACAAATTATGTCAAACTATGAGCAAAACCGTAGGCAATTTATTTAAATCCCTAAATCGAAAATTGTTGTCGCAACCAAAATTATATTAAAGCTGATTCATTATGAAAGATTCAATTACAATCTTAAAACATACTTAATTTATAATTTGATCCATGTCGTAGCGTCCGTAGCAATATTGCAAAACAGAACAAACGCCTTTATCTGATAATAGAGTTACTCATCATTTGTTGTGTACAAGGACCTTACAGAGCATGTATGTACTAGCGTCTTAGTATTTCATAGATTACCCAAGCCATACTTAATACAAATATAATGACTTTAACTACGTCATGTTCAATACCTTCACAGAAGGTAGTGTTATATTGAAAATTCGGAAGTCTTTTTAAACTAAGTTGCGAACTTCAAATTGGCAGATTGATATCATATTATGTTAATGTACGGATTGGTAGTTAAATTTCGTATTTTAAATGAAGTTTAAAAGCTGAAATCAAAACAATATAATCAAACATACAAACTAGAAGTAAGACGAAGTTTAAAATTCATTACATCTACAGCTTATATATTTTTCAATTGGACTTTTCAAAAAATTTTGAATCCGTATAGTGACGAAGGTAACACTAAAATTACCTAAGTAATAAACATATTGTAATAGTAGCAATAAAATTATAGTAAAGCGTGCTGTTAATTTCAGAATTCGTCCACGGTGGTCGGTGAGTAATCTCACTCGATGAGTAATTGCACTTGTTAATAAATACGATTTCCGGTGTACTGTTTGTGCTAGCACCGTGTCAGATGTAAGGAATTTTGCTTATCTCTTATCTTTAAATTGACTTGCGACATGTAAAATAATAATATGGGTAAAGGTTTTTTTAGTTCAACTATCCGAAATGGGAAACTTATTTTGTGATTATACTTAATTCGTCCTTGCTTATTTTATTCATAAGAAAGTGTTAGTATGTTTGTTAGTTTATACTATTTTTATACGTTAATGGAGCAACTGGTTGATGTGATTTTTGTATAGGAACAGTTTATATGTTACTGTATATTGACTACTTTAATTTACGATACAATAGGATGATAAAAGTTGCTTATAGATGAGTCTGTTAGAAGCGTTTAAAATGAGTTTATTTGTTTATTAGCTCATCAGCTGTTGAACCAATTGTAATGTGGTGTGCAAGCGTTATATTCAGGGAGAACTACGACTGAGGACTACTAATAGAATGCTCAATTAATGGGTTTTATGGGAAATTAGTAGGAAGTAGGAACCTTCGTATATTTTAATAAACACAACGTATGAATAGCTTGAAGATGTAAAGAAAAAATAAATACATACAAAATCAGTCATGATAATATTATGTCATGCTTATGTAAGGATTAATTTATGTTTTTATAATATAGTTCAAATAAGTATTATTACTTACAAAGATGATTAATTTACATACAAATAAATATATTGCACTAGCTAAATAGATTTTGTACAAATTAAGGATGTAATTTAATCATTTGGTAGTATAAAAACAATGAGTAGTATAATTGGCTTATAAATAATCTTTAAGCAATATATAGGTATCCCTACACAATTATTAATTTTATTTTATATACAGGATAATCGATATTGATATGTTATAATCGATATGTAGGTACAATTTTTGTTGAATGATCTAAAAGTTAATTAGACCGTAGTCTCGCGTTGACTAGCATAAACTATACCTACCTAGCTATAACTTTAGCATAACTTTATATTATTTTTAACCGATTTCAAAAAGAAGGAGGTTCTCAATTCGTCGGAATCTTTTTTTTATTTATGTATGTTCATCGATTACTCGAAGACGCCTGAACCGATTTGGAAATATTTTTTTTTGTTTCAAAGGGTATACTTTCCAAGTGGTCCCATATAAATTTTATCGAAATTGGTTGAGCGGTTTTTAAAAAAAATCAAGATTAAATGTATTTTTTTAAATAAATTGTTTAATCGAATCGAATTTCTTCTTACAAATTACCTGCTTATTACGTCTACACTAAAATGCAAAAACATAGTTTTAGACATGATGATGTTTTTTTTTAAATTATATTATAATAATTTAGCGATTTTTTATTTTTAACTGTCTGTATGTAAACCTTTGGTTTTAATGGAACTATTAGAGAACAATTTTTATGGTATAATCCCTCTTGTTGTTTAAAAAATAATAATGCACCGCAACTCCCATACTTAAGTTAATTGAAATCTGCTTAGAATTTAGTAGTGCCATTGTACATAGCTTATAGATGGTATTCATGAATGAAATGTCTCTAATTCGTTCATGATGGTATTATATGTATGTCATACTAACAAATTAGTTTTGTTGTCGCAATCAATTAATGTCGCGTTTTATTAAATCATCTTAAAATAAAGGCAAGTTTGTCAACTTAGCCTTGTCAAGCTTTATTATTTTTGTACACTAATTACATAGACACTAGATGAGTTGAGACCTCAATACTCTTTTAACCGACGAAAAAAGAGGAGGTTTTAAGTCAACACGTGTAGTATAATATATTTTTTCTATTTTTATGTACGACGCATATGGTTTATAGAGTAATCCAATCTTAATAATATTTTTTTGTCAAAAAAATAATGAAATCTAAACTTTTTATATATCAACTAGCGACTCACCCTCGTTTCGCTCGGGTTAGTCCCTAGGTACGTTTTTACTTTTTACGTATTAGTATGGAATAGATAGACTATATATTATACGATATGTAGCTCATAGAATTCCTCAATAAACAAACAAACAGTTGCCTCTGCCTCTTTATAATATTAGTATAGATAGGTTGCTCTTGGTTCAAACCTGAAAATATAGCTAGCGTTATAGTAAACAATTTCAAATATAAACATAATTAAATGATTTTTAAATAAATCATAGATCTGTATATAACGTTACGGTATCTGTTTATAATAAAGGAAAGAAAAAGTGAAAAAAAAATTATCTACAAAGTTTCTGTCATGAAAAATAATTTAATTGCGAAAATATCCATTTCAAATCATAACGGTTACATGATATCTGGTAATGCTTTGATTGTGCGAGGAAGTAATCAACGTGCAGTGTATTTGATCCCGGCTTCCTGTCGGCGACAATTACTTATTATTGTGATGACTGCAGTAATACCAACAGCTGTCCCTTATAGGCTTATACAGTGTAGGTACTATAGTTTACACTACATGGTGTTTTTGTAATAGATCTAAGAGATTTGACATAAACCAGTCGATTCTTAAACGATGAAAACGATTGTTCCCTAATTTTATTAATTTAATCGTTATATAGTTATTGGTTTTTCTCGTATCTTAATAAAATGCATTATTACATCTAACTTCCATATTCTAAACTATAATTTTTTAATAAAGAGTTTAATTAATTTATTAATTAACTAGCATTGCCCGCGGCTCCGCCCGCGTTAGATAACCAAAAACCAAATTCTTAGGTTTTACATATTAGTATACTCTTACAATGCAGATTTTGTATTTTTTCTCAGAAATGAGATATTTTCCCGCAGTAAAAAGTATCATATATGTTGATCCGTTTAGCCAGTTATCATCATACCTCATCAAAATCTTTCCAGTGGTTTTCCCGTGATGCGGTAACAGACAGACAGACAGACAGGGAGACAAAAATTCTAAAAACTATAGATTCGGCCTCTGTATCGATAATAAAGTCTATTTGAATAAGATTTTCCAAAAAATATTTAATGTACAGATTCGGCTTAGTTACAATTTTATTATATGTATAAATATATGGAATATAATCTAGGATGAGACTAATCATCAGTATTAATTATTGAATTCTAATACACTGTACTCACATTAAATTTTTGAAAAGGACGTAATTTCTGAAAATATTAACTCATTTCCTAATATTTTTATTATTAGAGGCTTGATTTCCGTTAAACATTAATATTTAAAATTATTATAATTACTACTGAAGGTGTTATATTGCTTTAATGATCCTCGGAAATATGCATCATTTATTTATAGAAGAAGTTTAACGATAATCAATTATATACGATAACAATGATTTATAACACCCATTTCAAAAATAGTTTTCAACAATTTTAAAGCGATTCTACTAGTTTCACTAATTCAAGGCGAATTAAAGAGTTATTTAAAATAACGATAAAAAGCATAAATTAATGATGAAAATATGATACGATGAATGAGTTAGATAATAGAAAAATTACATTATATTCGGTGGGTATTTGGTTAAAGAAATCATGACATACCATCATGTAACTAAAAATTTATTCAACTTATCTTGATAATATAAAGCAATAGTCTTGTATAATGTAAAGGGTTTATAATAGTTTTATTGTTAATTGCTGAAGTAACATTAACATATGGGTCATGAAGTGGAAGAAAAAAATTGTAAATACAATGGCTTTTAATAATAGCAAATGTTTGAAGTTTTAGAATTTTTGTGATTTGAAACTCAATGAAATGGAAGTGAAACGGAAATGCGACACTAAAAAGAGACAACCACATAAATATATAGGAATGAACCGGCGAAAGAATGAGATAGAATACATTGCCATGTTGCCATGGTAACCGTTGTTATTGTCTGACAAATATATAATATTTAGTTTCAGTTCTACCATATGTGAATTGCACACACACGCACTTTTTTTATTAAGTTTACTGATTTTCAGTAACAACGCACTACTCTATGTTACATCATACGGTTGGCAGTTGAATGGGTGTGTTGACTTCTGACCTGCTCATGAGTAACTGTATTAATTAAAAGATATGTCCTTTGCGACCGTTTTGCCATTAATCATTTTAATAGTTAATTTACAAGATTAAAATATTATCTCTTGTTGTAAAAATCAAAGGTAGCTAATCGCAATAAAATTTTAGTCAACATTGACGCCTAGTTATCCCAAAATGGGCAGTGGTAGTCCAATAGGCAGTGGTATTTTCTCTCGCGCCTCTGATATTTTCATGTGCGAATCATTTCTAACATGATTACTTACCACTTGTCTTACGGGGAAGGAAATTATTATAAAAAACCTGCATGCCTGAGAGAGGGTAGCAATTTTTCGAATGATATGTGAAGTTCGCCAACCCGCACTTGGCCAGTGTGGTGGGATATGGCCCGATCTCCATCGTATTGAAAAGAGTCCCGTGCCCAGCAGTGGGACGTTAAAAAGGGTTGAACACATCCCAAAAACCAGATAGATAGATTTATCTTTTAATTTACCGTTTAATTACAATAATATTACGAATACGAACAAATATGGGCGTGTTTTTTTACATTATTACATTGTAACGACTTAAAAGGTTTTCAGAGAATTTTAGCATGGAAATATTCGTCACAGATTAACATATAGGTTTCTTCTTATTAGTTATCGTATACCGCGAGAAGAGCGGCGGGCAGACACTAGTATCTAATAAATAAATTATATATAGTATCATGTGAGATTTTATCTCGCAGCTCGCTCTATAAGGCAGATTCATTTCGTCGGAGTAGATAATAAAAATATTATAAGCGTAACCTTAATTGGAATGGACAATTCCTATAATTTAAACGTCAATATGAATGTTAAAGATATATTATGCATTAAGAATTCGATCATAAATTAGATGATTTAGATACAGATTGACCTAACATTAGTCAGATGTCACGATGCTAGGAAGACGGATATGTGAAATTACTGACATACCTCCCTTACGTTGACTGATTGAGTGATGCGCCATATGTAGGTTATGGCATCTTGTTAGAACAGGGCGTAGCTATTGTATCATAAGCAACGAGTAATTACTATAAGTAAAATGGACGACTAACGAGGCGGTATAGGTATATAATAAACTTTTTATTTTTTAACCAACTACAAAAAAGTAATTTTTCAATAGAGTTTTCAAATTCCTTGTAAAAGAGTTAAAATAAAGTTATTTAGTAAAATATACGTACTAATTAAAAAAAAACATTTTTAGTAGATATCGTAAGCTACCTTACCCTTACTTTGCTTACATGCTCCGCGAGATAGGTTTTAGGTTTTTTTTTTATTAGAGCTTCACCGGTTATTTATTCTGGTAGCTTGTCGCAAAAAGGAATCATTAAACGAAATAAAAATAAACTATAGCTAATGATAAATAATTAAGGAAGGCGAATTAAAATCACTTATACAATTCTAGAGCAATCAAACACGTAGTTTGAAATTTCAATGTTAATATAACTTATTTGTTTGCCTCAAAGTATCTTCTAGGCTTTAACAATGGACAGTTAAATTTTAATAAGGAATAACATTATGTTGTAGGTTTACTTTAGTACTACGTACTAATATCTACCTGTTATCGGTATCGATATATAGATACCAGGTTTTTAACAAAGAAAAATAAGTTCTAATGTCATATTCTTAAGGTATCTAATATAATAAATCATTGTGCAAATGTACATATTATTATCATGTCACGGGAGCAAAGTAGATGTCAATCCTATGACATCATATTTAATATTTATTATTTTATATATTGTGGAATAAAATGTTTATAGTTAATCTATATTAAAATTCTAAACATTCATTTTAAATCTATTAATTCATGGAAATTCGCGCTATTTAATTTGGCCGTTTCAGCAATATTTAATAATTATTTTAATCTATTTTATAAAAAATATAAATAAAAATCGTGCTTGTAATGTCACTAATTTTCAGCTTTTTACCAATTTGTCACAAATGTAATTTATAAAAAAAGGCTATTAAAAAAGGTCTTAATAAAAATAGAAAAAGTATAAAAAGTACGTGTGTGTATATTTGTGTGTGCCTACATCATCATAAAATTATTTAAATTAATATATTTTTCAAAGTAGAGATTTCTCTCTACTAGTAGTAGCAGTACTATGAGTAGTAGTGTCCCTTTGTCTTATATAATAAGACAAAGGACAAATAATAATAATATATAAAAAGTGTTCATTTTAACATCATAATGCAATTTTGCAGGTTTTAAACATCATAATTCTAGTTCTCTACCGTACCGGGTACAATGGAGAGTTCTTGGGAGTGGGAGGTACGTGGAACCTCAACGAGGAGAAAAATCCAGACACTGAGATAGTGGCATCAGGTGTCATTGTAGGTTACCTAATCTACACACTTGTGCAAGTTGTCACATTTCTGTTTGGCACCACTGAGCATAAGAGGTGAGATATTAAATAAGCTGTTGTGCTTTTATAAAAATGTCCAAAATTTTATTACAAAAAGAAAAAAAATGTTCTAAAGTACCATTATATACCTAATTACTTTTTGACTAAAAAGTTTTCCTTAAAAATCATCTTAAGAGTTATTATTTCAATTTAGGAAATGGTTCACATGGGACCAACCTTCATCCTCTCAAATAAAAAAGAGTCTTTTAAATGAGTTTACAATTGCTGAAAATATATTGCAACATACACAAAAAGAACATTTGTATGTACCAGAAATGAGATTCAGAAAATTGGAAAACTAATAATTCCATATATTAGTGATGTTTAGGCATACAATATTTTCTAACTAGCGGCTCACCCTCGCTTCGCTAGGAAACCAAAAATAAACCTATCCCACGGGAACCGTAAGATTTCCGGGATAAAAAGTGATATAGCCTATGTGTTATTCCAGGCTATAATCTATCTTTGTGCCAAATTTCATCCAGATCCGTTCAGCCGTTCTGGCGTGAAAGTGTAACAAACATCCATACTCGCAAACTTTCACATTTATAATATTAATAAGATAAAATTATAATATTAATACGGATGTCAACAGTTTTTCAGATTCTTATAATAAAGTACATAGATTTCAATTATGTTACACTTAAAATATATATTTTTTTACTAGAGCAATGTCAGAGATCGTGATGAATTTCATTGGAATATTCCTGTGGATCGCGGTAGGCGCTGTAGCGTTGCACTACTGGGGTGGATACCAGGGAGAGCATCAGTTCCAATTCGTCTTTGCTGAGAAACAGGTCCGTAATCTACATTTTGACTTCTATTTGAAAATTTTATAAAGATTATTATATAATTTTAACTTATAAGTATTAATCATAAGATCCAATTTTTCTGCGAAACCACATATATCCTTAAGTTCTTCATCAAGTGTTTTGAAATTTTGACGCTTACATATGTACATAATATGTATATAATGTTTTAGATAGACGTTTTTTGCTTATCGTTTTGCTAACATGCAACCTAATGATGCTGTCACCCAACTTTTTCACAGTTCAAATGAGTGCATTACAAGTACACACTAGATATTTAAGTACACGAGTCAAAGCCACGGTAAAAGGCTAGTTAATCATGAAGTAAAAATAAATTTACGGTAGAATAGAAATATGTTAACACGTAGAGATGCTATTAGTGAAAAAGATAATAATCCTCATCCCATAAAAAAGTTTAGGCCAATCAAATTGTCTGTAATCGATGTTAAGTAGAGAATTAAGTGTTTGGTTCAAACTAGTTTAAAGTATTTTGAAATTGAGTATGATCGTAAAATTGAGATCAAGAAGTTAAAAATATGATACAAAATAATTCAGAAAACAGAGAACGTTTCGAACAAAAATAGTAACTAATGTCTGAATGAATATTTTCACTCAACTTTCGACGCTAACCTTATTGGATTCGGCTAGTAAGAGACTGATTCGACTATTAGCTACAATCTATACTTATTATAAAAATAAGTCCCCCGGCCGCGTCTTTCTGTCCTCCTGTCTGTCCTCCTGTCTGTCTGTACGCGATAAACTCGAAAACTACTGAACGGATTTTTATACGGTTTTCAACAATAGAAAGAGTAATTCTTGAGGAAGGTTTAGGTATATAATTTATTATGCTTTTATGTAAATTAGCTGAAATACGGCGACAAATGTTGAAGAGGTCGCAAAAAATCTCGCCAAATGGGAACTTTCCACGCGAACGCCGCGTAAACTAGCAAAGATACAGTTAAGTAATGTACTAGAGAATTCAAAATCTATAAAAATGCTACAAAAAAGTCCGCGATAGCATATCTCTATCTCTTACGGTTGACTTACAATAACCACTTTTATGTTAACATTTTTAATTAAAAACATTACGTTATTTTCAAAGTTATTTTCTTTAGTTCGGTATTAATCCTTATCCAAATGAATATTTTAGTTAGCTTAGTCATTTAATGCAGATTAAAATTGCTCTTTACACTAAATCAATCAGATGAATAGTTTTTGAGATATCGTTGTTAGAAGTAATTAGTAGCGAAACATTTTTAATGCTTGGCGAGCATTGAGATGCCTACGGCGAGTCCATCCCCTCTGCCCCGCATCGCTCGACCGCCTGCTCAAGCTATATAAACCGGGCGATGTAGCGCGCGATCCTAGGATACTTTTTACCGCGGGAAAATATCTTATTTCTGAGGAAAAATACAAAAACTGCAATGTAAGAGTATACTAATATGTAACACCTAAGAATTTAGTTTTTGGTCATCTGAACGCGGGCGGAGCCGCGGGCAATGCTAGTACAATATAATTGCGACTCATTCGTCTCTAGTTTTCCTCCCAATACAAAATTTCATCCCCATTTTCAACCTCTTAAGGGATGATTTCCGGGATAACAAGTATCCTATGTTCTCCCCAAATTCGTTCATGTTTGAAGTATTACATTAAATATAATTATACTGTAAAGTAATCTGATACGAGTATATAGATCATTGCTCTTACTCTAGCTTAGTTCAAATTACGACAAGAATGTGAAGGATATCTAGAATTTAAGCCACTTTCCAACATTTTTACATATAACAAGTTCCTTCTTATATGTATTGAATTATAATTTTCTTTGATACAGGTTGGTTTGGCAGTCGGTGCGTTATGTGTCATCCAGGGCGCGGTATATTTGCTTGACACTGCACTTTCCGTCATACATTTTACTAAAGAAATGTAAAGTTTAATTATATCTTAGTTTAGTTTATTTTTTGCTTATGATTAAGTTCTGAATAAATGACAGTACCAAATTTTTATGTAGACAATACAACAATTTTTTATAAGATATAAGTGTAATTATATGTAAGTCAAGTGCATAAAAGAACCCTATAATGTTTTAGCTCTCCGAAGATTTTAATGTTAACTCCCACCTTTTGTAATTTATTTAATCATAGTTCTTTATAACCAAGAAGAATTATATTTTATATTTACTGTACTTAATTTAAATAAAGGTAAAATAAAAACCATCTTAAATGAGTTTCAATTTGATGTAGTACAGCGTAAAAAATTACCTATTTATACACGTAAAAATATTCCACAGACCTATACACACGTGGTGTGTGCTTACAAGAATGTTCGTTGCATGGGAATTGAATCTACAACAATCTGCTTAAAAGCTATGCACAATACGTGAGATTGATAAAGGACACGTAATTAGTGACCCACAGATAGAACTATTATGAAGATTATAAAGAAGAGGTCAATGCAAGTGACAAATTAGTAGGGTCAAGAGTTAAATGCGATATCCTACGAGACATTTGACTCATTTAGGATCTAGCTGTGGAATAGTTAGACAGGTCATTATATAAAAATTGTGGACAACGAAAATTGTTTTTAAAAAGTGTTACAAGAAAAAAAAATTAAAATATACTGTTTCTAAAAGAATACCTATCGTAAAGTTTTTCTAATTGAATACGCTATTTCGCTCATTCGTAGACAATTTAAAGTCAAGGATTCTTTAATTGAAAAACAATTGGATAATAGTTAATACTAAAATAAACTGAAGCTGCGTTATCTGTGTTCTGGCAATCTGGTGGTAATATCACCTTGTTCGAAGGATTTTATGTGCGAAGTCGACGTTTACTCTTCCAAAATTGCGCCGTTAACTGATAACGTAAGTATTTTTTTTTATAATTATAAAGCATTAAATTTCACTATTACATATGGGAAAGTATTTGTATGTGCGTGTGTGTGTATGTTTTTGACTCTTACGCTGAAACAAGTGGCCGTATCTATACTTATTATAAAAATAAGTCCCCCGGCCGCGTCTTTCTGTCCTCCTGTCTGTCCTCCTGTCTGTCTGTACGCGATAAACTCGAAAACTACTGAACGGATTTTTATACGGTTTTCAACAATAGAAAGAGTAATTCTTGAGGAAGGTTTAGGTATATAATTTATTATGCTTTTATGTAAATTAGCTGAAATACGGCGACAAATGTTGAAGAGGTCGCAATAAATCTCGCCAAATGGGAACTTTCCACGCGAACGCCGCGTAAACTAGCAAAGATACAGTTAAGTAATGTACTAGAGAATTCAAAATCTATAAAAATGCTACAAAAAAGTCCGCGATAGCATATCTCTATCTCTTACGGTTGACTTACAATAACCACTTTTATGTTAACATTTTTAATTAAAAACATTACGTTATTTTCAAAGTTATTTTCTTTAGTTCGGTATTAATCCTTATCCAAATGAATATTTTAGTTAGCTTAGTCATTTAATGCAGATTAAAATTGCTCTTTACACTAAATCAATCAGATGAATAGTTTTTGAGATATCGTTGTTAGAAGTAATTAGTAGCGAAACATTTTTAATGCTTGGCGAGCATTGAGATGCCTACGGCGAGTCCATCCCCTCTGCCCCGCATCGCTCGACCGCCTGCTCAAGCTATATAAACCGGGCGATGTAGCGCGCGATCCTAGGATACTTTTTACCGCGGGAAAATATCTTATTTCTGAGGAAAAATACAAAAACTGCAATGTAAGAGTATACTAATATGTAACACCTAAGAATTTAGTTTTTGGTCATCTGAACGCGGGCGGAGCCGCGGGCAATGCTAGTTTATTATATATTATTCATATCCATATTAATATTAAAAATGTCAAAGTGTGTTTGCTTGTTTGTCCTTCTTTCCCTACGAAACAGAGTGAGAGAGAGATTATCTTATTCCCACGAGAAAGCACGTTATAATACAACTCACAACAACTCATCATACCTATGTATATACGTATACCTATAATAATATATAGTCTGTCTATTCCATACCAACCGTTAAAATTTACTACGGAAGAACCCAAGCGAAGCGAGGGTGACCCGCTAGCTTGTAAATAAAATACCTATAAAATTTTCGTCATTTAATACTTTCTTAGATTTACGCGAATATTTGACATCTATACATATAATAAAATTGTAACTAAGTCGAATCTGTACATTAAATATTTTTTGGAAAATCTAATTGAAATAGACATTATTATCCAAATCTATAGTTTTTAGAATTTTTGTCTGTCTGTCTGTTACCTCATCACGAGAAAACCACTGGACAGATTTTGATGAAATTTGGCATGATGATAGCTGGTTATACGGGTCAACATATAGGATACATTATACCGCGGGAAAATATCTCCTTTCTGAGAATAAATACAAAAACTGCATTGTAAGAGTATACTAATATTTGAAACCTAAGAATTTGGTTTTTGGTCATCTGAACGCGGGCGGAGCCGCGGGCAACGCTAGTTTTAAATAAAATAATATTTGACATTTTAAATAATAAAAATTTTCGTCATTTTTATATTTGGCTGTATAATACTACAATGTAATAAGAGCAAGAAAGTAAACGATCGTGCTTATTGTACATGTTGCAGTACAACAATAATACTGTAAAGAGATTCAGGCCAGTGCAAAATGTGTCATGGATTAATCGCTTCAGTACCCTACTTCTGTACAGTATTGTGTTAAACAAGAAAACAGACTGTTACAATATAAATAAAATATCAAATTTTATGTAACAAATGCAATTCTATATGAATTAACATTATGAAATTTATAATATTTTACATAATAAAATACGTAGGAAATAATGATAGTGCGTACATATTTCAAATTCTACGACTACGGGTAATGTGCATTTGACTGAAAATTTTTTTAAGACTTTGGAAAAGTACAAGAAAATAATAAATCACTTCTAATTTAAATTACTAAACGTTTTGTATTTCTAGAGGAAATTTAAATTTTGTTATATTTTTTTTTATTTATTATATGTTTTTAAATTATTACATATTTTTATTTTAATATTTTATTTTATTATTAGGTAGGAAACATTTAAATGAAAGCCTAGATTTATAACTATAGCCTATGTCACCAGATCTTGTTATTTTTCCATGTAGAATAAATAATGCTCTGGTATGTGTGTTAGAATTGTATGTCAGCTTTAATCTGTGAGTCCGCGGAAATACTATCAGTTTCTATAGGTATTACACTAACAGCATTATCTTTAAACTTATACTCTATGTTCCATAAAATTCCTTTTACTTCTGCGTGTAAAAAAATCTATATCCAAAAATTTCTGTTCCAATACAAAATACTACATATACTCTACAAGAAGACTTTACAATTATTATAATTTAAATTATCTTAAACAACTTAACTTAAGAAAATTGCGTAATATTCTTACATTATTATAAAATATAATACTAGTAGGTTAATGATTTACACTTTGACTAAAGTAGACAAATGTGTTAAATCCACTTCATATGGAAATGCGTCCCTTGTCGTCCTACCGGCGCGTGCGTCTATTTGGATCGCTTGTGCCGTTAGCCGGAACACTGGCTTCGTTCAACTATGATAATAACTGTAATGATTTTTGCTCACGCTGGCTGTTTTATGCAAGTTTTATGATGGATTATGGGTAAGCAAATTATGTATACTTTAAATAATAGGTAAATAATAGGTAAGGTAAATAGGTAAGTTAGGCAGAGATAAAAGAGTCGAATCATCTTGTCATTTGCTATCTGACATTATTTGATATTACTACTCTAGTACTAATAAGACATCCACATTTTTATATTATAAATGTGAAAGTGTATTTGTTTGTTTGTCATCAGAGTGACGCGATGGATTGACGTGAGTTTTTTGAGTGAAAATACTTTCTAGCGCGGAAGATTATTTCATTTCTATGGGAAAACACGTTATAATACAACCCACAACAACTCATCATGCCTATGTATATTGTATATCCATTATATACTAATCGTTAAAAACGTACGTTTTAACAATTAGAACTCGAGCGCAGCGAGGGTAAGTCGTAAGTCAAAAATCGATGTACAAAACGAAATTTTTCAGTGAATAACAAACTGAAGTGTCTACTAAATAAAATTCAATATTTCAATTCGAATATAAGTCTATTATTCTATTATCTTCTCTAAATTCTTATTATTCTCTATCTTCTACCTTAAGAATTACCTCAAGAGTACCATTGTATAAATTACACTAAATAAAAGTCGTATAATTATATGTAAAGTGATTTTAAAGTCGGGTTACATTTTTAGTTAAATAATACAAAATTATTGTGCATATTATGTTATTTATAATACGTAGCATTATTCAATCTAAACATAAGCATTTATTTTGAAGGACAAAAAGAGGACAATGTCACTGAAACAGGTCAGGCTACGACCTTACTATTATACCCCGACATCGTAGAATGCTGGCGCCAAAACTGGCGTCGCCATGGCGGCCGTTGATAGTTAAATACATTCAATTCCCCTCCTAAGGGCCAGAGCTGTATCTTCAGAAGGGTTTATTTTTAATGAATGTATATACTTGAATTACTATTGTTAAATGTTAAAACATTAAAGAATACCTAATATTATTAGGCAATACTTATTTAGAGTTAGTTTATATAATATACTAGCGACTCGCCCTCGCTCCGCTCGGGTTCTTCCCTACTTATATTTTAACGTTTAGTATAAATGAGATATTTTCCCGCAGTAAAAAGTATCCTATTCATATTTCATCAAAATCCCTCCAGTGATTTTTCCGTGATGCGGTAACAGATAGGCAGAAAGACAGACAGACAAGAATTCTAAAAACTTTCAATAAGATTTTCTAAAAAATATTTAATGTACAGATTCGGCTTAGTTAGAATTTTGTTATATGTCTATACATACATAATAATAATTAAAATAACAAACAAAATATAATAATAATAGAAATATTAAAAAAATAATAATATTTTAGTTATTATTCTGAAATCCAAGGAAATTAGGATGAACAATACTGTGACGATATAAGTATATGTTAACGTAATCAGGCATTCATAAAACATATGTAATACCTAACTTGAAACTAAAATATGCAATTTGGTGCTAAAGTTTTACATGAGCTTTACAGAAAACAATGAATTTTGAAGTCTGGCGAATCATAAAAATAATAAATAATATTTATAATGTCAACTACGTCAAAATGCTAAAGATGAATGCGAGTAATTTTGAAGAACAATGGCCCATACAACCGGCAATAACATTATGCGTGTTTGTTTGCTTCGGCAGTAAGTACGAAACGTGCACTCATATCATGAATCCAGTACACGTTCACACGTTTGAAGTTCTTTTCCGTGTGCGTAATCGTAACAAGGGTCAAAGTATTAATGTTATATATATACATATTACATATGAATGATAGAAATTAGTATAAAAATTAAATCGCAGATTAAGTCATAACTTAGCCAGTATTAAATAATAATTGAAGTTAAATTGCTAAAAATAGCATATAATTTTCAAAATTATTCTATTTATGCGCTTTAAATACCAGATAAATATAAACAGTTTTAATTTACAAATTTTAATTTAAGATCAAACAATTAATTTGAATATCCAAAAACAACAACTGTTTGTTTATAGTTTTAAGTTTTAACTTCTGTCCTCATGACTTTTTGATCCTCATGATTTTTTAAAATTATTTGTTGTCATAGCGTCAATAGAAATACATACTGTCTACTACTACTAATACACCTGTGAAAATTTCAACTCTCTACCTATTACGGTTCATGAGATACAGCTCTCTGACAGATGGACGGGTGGACAGCGGAGTTCTCCGTTTGTCAATCGACTTTCTTTT